GGAGGAGGAGGAGGAGAGGAGGAGGAGGAGGAGAGGGGAGGAGGAGGAGGAGGCGGAGGAGGAGGAGGAGGAGGAGGAGGAGGAGGCGGAGGAGGAGGAGGAGGAGGAGCAGGAGCAGGAGGAGGAGATGGGGGATGATTCGCAGGAGGAGGAGGAGGAGGAGGAGGAGAAGGAGGCGGAGGCGGCGGAGGAGGAGGAGGAGGAGGAAGAGGAGGAGGAGGAGGAACAGGAACCACGGGGAGCAGCTGGCATGACAGTGGAGGGCGGGACAGGGGAGGGAGAGGTTCGCCCAAACACAGCCGACGCCCGCGTAGGGATCCCCCTCAAAGAGGGCGTTGCTCTAAGGAAACTTGGGCTGCATCAGCGGCGCTGCGCTTACTGTCTCTCCTGCAGCTCGTACTCGTGTAGGCACGCCGTGAACCTCCCCCACCCCGTCCTGCATCGCTCTCAGCCTTCCCCAAGGCTCTGCTCCCTGCGCTGGCCGCAGTGCGCTGTGGGTGAGGGCCTTCGACTGTTGTCGGTCGAGGCTGTATACATATGGCAAATCAAAGGCTGCTACCCAGGGTTTCATCGGTTCACTCCGATCTTCCTCGGTCCTAGGACCTCCGTGCTTTTCGCCAACTCTTCTCGGGTTTCGCACGACCCCTGCTTTGGCGCAGCGGGTGGGACAGCCACGGTGCAAGGGCAGGCGAAGGGCAGGGAAGGAGACAAGGGAGGACGAGGGAGCGAGCCTGCGGTTGCTCGTTCGCCGCACGTGCGAAGCAGCGCGCGAGGACTGTGGGGGTGCTCCGCGTTTGACTGCGCTCTCCAGGGCGCCCTGCGCCTCGGAGGGAGCCGCGCACGGGCGCTGACGGAGGCTCAGGTTCTGAGCTTCTGTCAGGATCTCTGTGTCCGCGACATAGGGTGGCTGGCTGGCCGCGCGGCTTGCAGCCTTGGGGGCTGGGTATCGGGTCGCCCGCCGTCTTCTCCACGGCCAGGGTCGCCGTGTTCTCGGCGTTGTCTTTTCCACGGCCAGGGTCGTCGTAGACCCCCCCTCCTCCTCCTCCTCCTCCTCTCTCCTCCTCCTCCTCCTCCTCCTCCTCCATTCTCCTCCTCCTCCTCCTCCTCCTCCTCCTCCTCCTCCTCCTCCTCCTCCTCCTCCTCCTCCCCCTCCTCCTCCTCCCCCTCGTACTCGTAGACAGCGTGGCTGGGCGCGAAACGGACATGCCGACCGCCCATTCCCCCCTGTACATGCGTCTCGTCAGCAAGCGGGGGTTGCTGCGCTGGCGCCTGTGAGTCCCCCCCCCGTACAGGAACATGTCAACATGCAGGGGTTGCTGCGGTGGTAATAGTGGGTGGGCTGTCTAAGGTGCCTCTTATGCGGCGGGCAAATAGCGTGGATGATGTGCAAGTCCAGGGATGAGACGAAGCTGCGCCGTTCACTCCACAAGCCGAGGCCCTGGGGCTCGCCATGGGCAGCTCGGGCCGCCGGGGCGCTGGGGCGGCGCCGTCGGCTCGGTCCCACAGGCCAGACGGCCTGGCGGGGTAGACAAAGTCGATCCTGGGCGAGACGAACTCGGGTGCCTCGGGGTCGACCGTGGCGCACTCGGGCGCCTCTGGGTCAAGCTCCTGGCTGTGGAACTCGATGCGCTCCCTTCTGTAGCGGTCGTCTGTCCGCTGGTGGCCTGTCCAGGCGATGGGCATCGGGTCGCTCAGCATGTCGCTGGCCTTGACGCTGTGCCCAGTCCTCTGGCTGCGAGCGCCAGGCGTCGCCAGGCGGCGCGGCGTGGTCTCGGCTAGCAGCTCCCGTGAGTTCTGCCGGTGTGGGTCCCGTAGCCGGTGGCGTCGAGCCTGGTCGCGGGCTCCACGCCGCTGGCCACTGCGCGAGGCCGGCGGGCGCCTGGCATGGCCATCCGCCCCCGCTCAGGCCCTCCCACCCCTTCGGAATGGCTGGGCGGAGGAGCTCCCTCGCGAGAGGCAGCGGCACCTCCTCCTCCTCCTCCTCCTCCTCCTCCTCCTTCTTCTCTTCCTCCCTCCCGTCGTCGCCTTCCTCCCCCTAGTTCTTCTTGGAAATCCACATTCGTTTCTTCACGCCTCCCACTCTTTCTCCCCCGCTTCGCCCGTCTCGCTTCGGGGGAAACTGCTCTCCGGCCTGCCGTGTCGCTTTTCGTGCAGTCTGCCCAGCAAGGTTTAAATTCTCCCCGAGAGTCGTGGTTTGCTTCGTTGTGGACCTTGTGCGGCCGCCGCGCCTGCTTGCGAACTTGCAAGCTGGCAGCGGCCTTGTCCTCTTTGGAGTGGGCGGACGGTTTATGCTCGCTGCGCCACCGATTCGTTGTCACGCCATCGTTCGCGTTGCGCGTGAGTGTTGCTCCCTTTGGTGCGTTGCTCCTTCAGACCCTGCGGGTCGCCGTCGTTCATGTATCCCTTCCCCCTCCCCTCCCCCAAGGAAGTTCTCGGGCGGCGGGTGTGTGGGCAGTGCCATGGGTGGACCAGCCCCCCTCCTCCTCTTTCAAGAGTTGCGAAGCCCTTTTACCTCTTTCTCGAATGGGGAATCCTTCCCCGCATCGGGTGTCCCTTCTTCCGAGATGCATAGGCCTCCAGCGTCGTGCTTGACCTCATCTCGCGGTCTGCCTTCTTTTCCCGGCAAGGGCGCCGGCCCAGGGTTCTCTGAGAGGTTTTACTCCCGGGATCGGCTTGAGACGAGCTGGCGAAATTATGTTCTGATATTTTCTGTGAGAAATGACGAGGTCGAGACGGGCTGGCGAATTCAAATGTGAGGACCTCCCGAGCGAATCGCTGGTTTTTGAAATTCCGATGTACAAAACACAGCAAAGTAAGCATTTGTCGTTTGTTGCAGATTTCTCGAGCGAAACGCTCGTTTCGCATCATGTGTTGAGGATGTCTCGAGCGAAGCTATTGTTTTGTGCTATAGATCCTTCCTCTCCTGGGGACTAGAATTCAGAGGATTTCTCAGGTGAAATGCTTGCTTGCACGTGCCCAGGTCGTGAGGATGTCTCGAGCGAGACGCTTCGAGGATGTCTCGAGCGAAAGCTTTGCTCTGCAGAACTCGGGCGGCCCGGGCGCCCCAGGATGCCCAGGTGGTTCCAGGAGCCCGAACACAGCGTACGTAACTAAGGAACGTGGCCCTGGGAGCGCGGACGAGGCGTAATTTCACGAGGGAGCGCAGCCCTGGGAGCGAGGAGGCAGCGTAGTTTACGACGGACCGTGGCCCAGGGAGAGCGGACGCAGCGTGATCTACAAGCGATCATAGCCCTGGGAGCGCGGACGCAGCGTAGTTTACGAGGGATCGTGGCCCCGGGAGGGGGCGGACACGTGTTAGAGGGATCGTGGCCTTGGGAGCGCGGACGCAGAGTAATTCAGAAAGGAGGCCCTGGGGGAGCGGGCGCAGCGTAATTCACATGGGATCGCGGCCCTGGGAGCGCGGACGCAGCGTCATTTACGATGGACTGGGGCTTGGGAGCGCGGGCGCCGCGAGATTTTGGAGGGATCCTAGCGCTGGGGTGGGGCGGGCACATAGTAATTTATCAGGGAGCCCAGACGCAGAGTACTTCACAAAGGAGCGCGGCCCTGGGAGCGCGGACGCCGCGTAGTTTACGTGGGATCGTGGCCCTGGGAGAGCGGACGCAGCGTAAGTCACAGGGGATCGTGGCTCAGGGAGCGCGTACGCAGTGTAATTTACGCTTGTTCGTGGCCCTGGGAGCGCTGACGCAGCGTAATTTACGATGGATCCTGGCCCGTCCCGTGGCACGTTCCCTGACGCGTTCCCTGACGCGTTCCCTGGCACGTGCCCTGGTGCGTTGCTTGGCACGTTCTGTGGCGCGTCCCGTGGCGAGTCCCTCTGGCACGTCGCGCTGCGCGTCCCCTGGCTCGTTCCGTGGCACGTCTATTGGCACGTTCGTTCCATAGCGCGTCCCCTTGGCACGTTCCACGGTGCGTCCCCATGGCACGCCCCCTGGCACGTCGCCTGGCGCGTCTCTTGGGACGTTCCGCGGCGCGTCCTCCTGGCATGTCCCCCTGTCAATTAGCTCTGGGGCAGCTACTATGTGCTCAGGCAGCTCGAGCTTAAGATCCAGACCAATTCGGTCAGGACACGGATGCAAAGAGGACTCGATCTACGACGCTACTGAGCACAATCGCGGCGTGGCGCGTCGCAATTCGGCGCGGCGCAGCGCAGCACAGCCTTCGGCACGGTACATCAAGGTCGAGACGCTCAGCATTGCACGTGCCCGTCGCCCGAGCAGGTGTCTTGAAAACGCTGCCATGCCTCACGCTTCCATGCTCCTGCCCAGTCTCGTGGGCCAATCCTGCTCTTTTTTGCTCGTGTGTGTGTGTGTGTGTGCCCCGGGGCCTCTCCTTCTGTCCCCCCCTCTCTCTGTTGATGAATTCAAGCTTCGCGCGGCCCGCTCAGCTCCGACAGGAAGAGGCGCGCTCTCGACCCGCGAACCAAAAAAGTGCGTGCCCCGGGCAGCCGCAGCGGGCAGCCGCAGCGGGCAGCCGCAGCGGGCAGCCGCAGCGGGCAGGCCCGGAGGAGGGCCGGCCCAGGCCACGGCGGCTCCCCCGTCGGGCCCAGGCCCTGGGCCCCGCCCGCTCCCGTGCTGCCCCGCTTCAGGAGGGGAGCGAACGCACAGACGCGATCTACCCCAGGAAGATCTGGGAAGTCGGGGGGAAGGCGAAGATCCCAAGCATATGCGAAACCATGGGGAATCCTGGTATTTGTGTGTGTGTGTGTGTTTATTCGTGTGCCCCTGGGTTCCTTCACCGTGCTCCGAGGCGGGTCCCAGCCGTGGCGACGAGAAGCCTCCGAGGGGGGGCCCCAAGGAAGGGGCGAGCAGCGCCAAGGGGGGGCCGCCCTTTTTTGACTCGGCCGGCCTTCTCCTCCCGCCTCCGAGCTTCTGCGGCGACCCTCGCTCTCCCCGCGCCCCGCTCTCCCGGCCTCTCTCCCCGCCCCCTGTTTTCCTGGCTCTCCTCCCCCCCCCCCCCCTCCTCCCCTCGCCCCTCCCGCGGCGCGGAGGCGCAGCCCTTCCAGAGCTTCTGCGCGGGGGCCAGGGCTGTCTTGGTTGCCCTGTGCGACGGGAAGGGTCCGCGCACGGCTGCGGCGAACGGAGCGGCGCCTCCCGTCCAGGCTCGGGGAGGAGGGGTGGGGGCAGGGCGGGGACCAGGGGATCGGATAATGAAAGACGGCATGGACATGAGCTTTCGGAGGTCCGCGAGGATGCATTGGTTCGGCGTTGGGCCTGCGCGCCAAGGACGGGGGTCGCCGCGCGGTTCCGAGAAATCCACGCGCACCTCCGAAGGTTGTTGTTCGTACTGCTTTTCTTCGGAGGAGGAAGACAGCGACACCACTGCTCGTCCTGGAGAGCTCTCGTCTCCAGGCCTCCCCGAAGGCAAAAGGTGGCCAGGGCAGATGGGGTCGGATCGTTCAGACACCCAGATCCGGCCAACGAGCTTGGTCGCTTGAGGGCGTGCACCCCGGTGCCCTGGACCATCCATCCGAACCGCGCGCTCTCGTTCTCTCCTGTCCTCTCTGTCACTCTCTCGCTCTCTCCATCTCTCGCTCTCTCTCTCTCTCTCGCGCGCTCTCTCACTCTTTCGCTTTCTCGCTCTCCCTATCCCTCCCCCTCCTTGTCCATACCCTCTTCTCCCTTTTCGTTTCCTTCTCTCTTTGGGGTTCTTCCCACCTCCATGCCTCTTTCCTCCACGCCTCCACGATTCCAACCACCCTACTGGTTCCTCGTCCACTTCTTGTCACCCTACTGGTTCCTCGTCCTTCTTTTTGTTTTCCTCGTACTCCTCCCCACTTCGACCTCGTCCTCCTTCCTCCTCCCCCATCCTCCCCCCATCACTCTTACTTCCTCCCTCCTTTTTCTCCGTCATCCTCTCCATTCTGACCTCTTTCCTCCCTCCTCCGTCCGTTTGATTCCTCCTTTTTATGTCCTCCTTTCTCGTTCCTCCGCCCTTTTCCCTCCACCCCCTTGCTCCGTTCTCCTTCCGCTGTCCTCACTTCTCTGTTCTGCTTCCTCCTCCCTCCCCTCTCTCGTCTCCCTCCTCCCCCTTCCCTCTTCTCTTTTGACCCCCTCCCTCCCTCCCTCCCCCCTTCGCCCCTCCCTCCCCTCCCTCCCTCCCCCCTCCCTCCCTCCCCCCCCCCCCCCTCCCTCCAGCCCACTAACTGCCCCCCCCCCCCCCCCCTAGTTTCTTCCCCCTTCCCCTCGTCGCCCTGGCGGCCTTGGTGGCGCCACCGGCTGCTCGAGGCCGCCCTCGCGCAGCTGCAGCAGGGCATCGACGACTTCGCGGCCCTGAGCCGCGAGGTCTGGGAGCTCCACGCCTACTTCGTCTTCCTCGACATCAAGGCCGGGAGAGGGACGTGCCAGCCACTGTTACCTCCTCTTCCTCCTCCTCTTCCCCGTCCCCCAGAGAACCTCCTCCTGCTCAAGCGGTATCAGTCCTGCCCCTTCTTCCCAGAAAGGGCAGGGGCCCAGGGTTCTCTTCTCGTTGGTTCACCCCGGGAATCGACTTGAGACGGGCCGGCGACATTATTTTGCTATATGTCCTGCGAGGCGCAACGAGGTCGAGACGGGCCGGCGAATGAAGATTTGAGGATGTCCCAAGAAGCGAAACGTTTTTGTTCTCTTCCATCCCGAACGAGAAACGCAGGGTAAAGTAAGCACTTTCGTTTGTCGCGGGCGTCTCGAGCGAAACGCTCGTTTTGCATCATTTGGTGGGGAGGTCGCGCGCGAAACGCTTGTTTCGGAGACTTCCAGGAACCTGGACGCACAAGGATGCCCCAGGGGGCCTTGGGAGTGCGGACGCAGCGTGATTTGCAAGAGATCGTTGCCCTGGGAGCGTGGACGCAGCTTAGTTTACCAGGGATCGTGGCCCTGGGAGCGTAGACGCAGGGTAGTTTACGAGGGATCGTGGCCCAGGGAGAACGGACGCAGCGTAATTCACGATGGATCGTGGCCCTGGGAGCGCGGACGCAGTGTACTTTTCAATGGATCGCGGCCCTGGGAGCTCGGACGCAGCGTAATTTACGAGGGGTCCTGGCACTGGGGGGGCGGACACAGCGTAATTCACGAAAGAACGTAGCCCTGGAAACGCGGACGCAGCGTAATTCACGAGGGAACGCGGCCTTGGGAGCGCGGACGCAGCGTTCAGCGCGCGCAGCGACGGGTCGTTCAAGAGGGAGGAGGAGACAGGGTACGGCATGAGAGGAGCCGTACACATGCGTCTTGGCAGTCGCCGCCGTGTTGGCAAACAGGCGCGCCACTTGCTGGGCGCAGTGAGTTGATCGCACAAGCTGGTGCGCAGAACCTCTTTCGTCTCCAACCTGCTCGCAGCGCGCGGCGCGGCCGAGGGACTGCAAGCGCGCCTCCTGACGCTATGCGAGATGGCGCGCGTTTTCGCCACTGTCGAAGAGATCGGGGGGCCGAGGGAGTATGGAGAGTACGCGATCCCTACAGATCTCGTCGCTGACGGCGCGCCCATCATCGCCCTGCTGCCGCCGTCCATTTGGCAGGCCACCTGGTGGTTAGCTGACCAGTCGCGCGCCGAGTTTATCGGGGACCACCTCTGGTTCGATACTCGAGACGTGCGGGCCGACCCCATGACCGTGGGCAGCATAGCATGAGCCAAGAGCTCGTCCTCAGCGCGATGAACGGCCAGATCCGCTACGACCATGATGCGGTCAAGTTCAGCGACGAGAAGCGGAAGAAGGCCGCCCCGAGCTCCCAGCACAGCTCTCTCACCCGAGAGTTCGATCGAGGAGGCGACTCGTGTGACTATGTCGCAAGGTCAACCACCTGAACTCCGTTCACGCGCACACGGGTCGACCTACCCAACAGCCACGAGATCGTCAATGTTGCGGGCGTTGGCGGGCGGGAGCAATGAATAAGTTGAGCACACAGGTGAGTGCTGCTCCAGCTGGCGATGTCAGTTGCGCAGCCGCGCGCACCTGCCTGTCCTCCACCAGTAATCTCTCGCTCGCAGCAGGCTGGCAGTTCTTTACTAAGGGTGCGGTGCGTCGAGCACCTCAGCAACTGTTCAGCGCCAGTTTGAACACCATATTCGCAGGGTATCCATCATGTCTCTTTCACATCATGTTTACTGGGTGTTGCCTATGCTTCTGCCTGCCTGGCCAGGCATCGCGCTTGTTTTCAGACGCGTTATCGAGTTGCTCTTCGTCCCGCTGCGTGGAAACATTCCATTTTTCATATCCACATGTGCGAAGATTCGTTCTCTATTATATTTTCGTCATATCTCCTGTTCTTGCTGTGCTTCTTCTTCTCCTTCTCATTATCCTGATTAATTGTCCCCTCTTCTTCCGCCTCCGAAGGACACTCTCCCAGCCATCGCGCCCCGCGCCCCTCGCTGCCCCTCGACGTCTAGGGCCGCGCAGGGAGAGAAACCAACACTATAACTCCACAGCTCGGGCGCGCAGTGAATTCGCGATGGGTGTTTTCCCTCCGTTCCGCGGCCCTGGAGCTTAAGGGATCGAGCTGGCGCGAGGGCAGTGCAAAGGTGGGGTGGACGTCGTTGGCCTCGGAGTATCTGCGCATGAAGCGCCGGCGGCTTTCCCGCACAACCCAAATCCGACCAACATTTGTGTTCGGACCCCCCCACCCCGAGGTCCATCCTGACCCGGCCGCTTTTCGAGGCGGATCCAGCCGTGGCGACCAGAGGCCTCCAGGAAACCCAAAGGACAAACAAATGCAAGGGGGGCCGAGGTTGCCTTGACTGGGCCTCCTCCGATTGCTGTCAGCTTTGGCGACTGCGATTTTTAGATTTGCGCCACACCGCCGACCCCTTGCGGAACTGGCGGTTGTTGCGTGTTGCTCCTGATGGCCTCTTGTGCTCCTTTTTTGGGGCCTCTTGGAGTTTTGTCCCAACCCTCCTTGGTTGGGTATTCGTTTTGAATAGAGGGGTGTGGTCGCGTCCTTCTCCTCCCGCCTCCCGCCTCCCGCCTCCCTCTTGTCTCCTCTCGCCGTCCCTGGGGGGCTGCGATCTGTGAAACTGTCGCCACTTTCGAGGGCTGCTGGGGAGGCCAGCAGAGGGGTACTCACCGCGGATCCAAACGGGACCTCGCCGTCCCTGAGGGGCTGCGATCTGCGAAACTGCCGCCATTTTCGAGGGCTGCTGGGGAGGCCAGCAGAGAAGGTACTCACCGCGGATCCAAACGGGACCTCGCCGTCCCTGGGGGGCTTCGATCTGTGAAACTGTTGCCAACTGTCGCCACTTTCGAGGGCTGCTGGGGATGCCAGCAGAGAGGGTACCCACCGCGGATCCAAAGGGGACCTCGCCGTCCCTGAGGGGCTGCGATCTGCGAAACTGCCGCCATTTTCGAGGATTGCTGTGGAGGCCAGCAGAGAGGGCACTCACCGCGGATCCAAACGGGACCTCGCCGTCCTTGGGGGGTTGCGATCTGCGAAACTGTCGTCACTTTCGAGGGCTGCTGGGGAGGCCAGCAGAGAGGGTACTCACCGCGGATCCAAACGGGACCTCGCCGTCCCTGGGGGGGTGCGATCTGTGAAACTGTCGCCACTTTCGAGGGCTGCTGGGGAGGCCAGCAGAGAGGGTACTCACCGCGGAGCCAAACGGGACCTCGCCGTCCCTGGGGGGCTGCGATCTGCGAAAATGTCGCCATTTTCGAGGGCTGCTGGGGAGGCCAGCAGAGAGGGTACTCACCGCGGATCCAAACAGGACCTCGCCATCCCTGGGGGGCTGCGATCTGCGAAATTGTCGCCACTTTCGAGGGCTGCTGGGGAGGCCAGCAGAGAGGGCACTCACCGCGGATCCAAACAGGACCTCGTCGTCCCTGGGGGGCTGCGATCTGCGAAAATGTCGCCACTTTCGAGGGCTGCTGGTGGGTCCTGCGGAGTGAGGCGCCGCGCGGACCTGAGCGGAACCTCGCCGTCCCGGGGGTTTGCGATCTGCGAAATTGTCGCCACTTTCGAGGGCTGCTGGTGGGTCCTGCTGAGTTGGGCACCGCGCGGACCTGAGCGGGACCTCGCCGCCCCTGGGGGGCTGCGATCTGCGAGACTGTCGCCACTTCCTAGGGCTGCTGGTGGGTCCTGCAGAGTGAAGCACCGCGCGGACCCGAGCGGGACCTCGCCGTCCCTGGGGGGCTGCGATCTGCGAAGCTGTCGCCACTTTCGAGGGCTGCTGGTGTGTCTTGCGGAGTGAGGCGCCGCGCGGACCTGAGCGGGACCTCGCCGTCCCTGGGGGGGCTGTGATCGGCGAAATTGTCGCCACTTCGAGGGCTGCTGGTGGGTCCTGCGGAGTGAGGCACCCGCGCGGACCTGAGCGGGACCTCGCCGTCCCTGGGGGGCTGCGATCTGCGAAACTGTCGCCACTTTCGAGGGCTGCTGGTGGGTCCTGCGGAGTGAGGCACCGCGCGGACTGAGCGGGACCTCGCCGTCCCTGGGGGGCTGCGATCTGCTGTCGCCACTTTCGAGTGGGTCTGCTGACCTTCCTGCATGGCTGCTGGTGGGTCCTGCGGAATGAGGCACCGCGCGGACCTGAGCGGGACCTCGCCGTCCCTGGGTGCTGCGATCTGCGAAGCTGTCGCCACTTTCGAGGGCTGCTGGTGGGTCCTGCGGAGTGAGGCGCCGCGCGGACCTGAGCGGGACCTCGCCGTCCCTGGGGGGCTGCGATCTGCTAAACTGTCGCCACTTTCGAGGGCTGCTGGTGGGTCCTGCGGAGTGAGGCACCGCGCGGACCTGAGCAGGACCTCGCCGTCCCTGGGGGGCTGCGATCTGCGAAACTGTCGCCACTTTCGAGGGCGGCTGGTGGGTCCTGCGGAGTGAGGCACCGCGCGAATCTGAGCGGGACCTCGCCGTCCCTGGGGGGCTGCGATCTGCGAAACTGTCGCCGCTTTCGAGGGGTGCTGGTGTGTCCTGCGGAGTGAGGCACCGCGCGGATGTGAGTGGGACCTCGCCGTCCCTAGGGGGGCTGCGATCTGCGAAACTGTCGCCACTTTCGAGGGCTGCTGGTGGGTCCTGCGGAGTGAGGCACCGCGCGGACCTGAGCGGGACCTCGCCGTCCCTGGGGGGTTGCGATTTGCGAAACTGGCGCCACTTTCGAGGGCTGCTGGTGGGTCCTGCGAAGTGAGGCTCCGCGCTGACCTGAGCGGGACCTCGCCGGCTGCGATCTGCGAAATTGTCGCCACTTTGGGTCCTGCGGAGTTGGGCACCGCGCGGATCTGAGCGGGACCTCGCCGTCCCTGGGGGGCTGCGATCTGCGAAGCTGTCGCCACTTTCGAGGGCTGCTGGTGGGTCCAGCGGAGCGAGGCACCAGGCAGATCTGAGCGGGACATCGCATCTTTGGGGGGCTGCGAGCCTCACGAATGCCGCTCGCAGAAGTATATGCGCCCATGTCACGCCGTCACCTCCGTATAACGACTCCCAATCTACGCATGCCCCGCATTGCGCAGGGGTTGGGTACGTCGCCAGGGTAATTTTGGGTTTCATGGGGGCCTCGTGGGAGCCTTTCGGGCCTCTTGGGCTGACATTCTCAATATTTGCCGTGTACGCATCGGGAATGGGGGCGAGAACCCGCGTATACAGACAGAGGGCATCTGTCAAAACACCCGACGAATGATCGAAGACGCCTACGGCGAATCACCGCCGCCCCCTGCCTTTTTGGAAGCGCCTATGTGGCCGAACGTTGAGGCCAGACCTGCCAAGCTATCGGACCACGTGTTCCCCGAATCGGTTTGGAAAGCCTTCGGGGAACACGTGGGCATCTTGAAGGTCATCTTGGCCGTCTTGGAGGCCTCTTGGGCAAGCTTTGGGCGATCTTTGGGGCTTTTTGGGCCGTCTCGGGCCAGCTTCGAGCCAACTTCGGCCATCTTGGTGGGTTCCTGGCACGTCTGAAGCCGTCGGAAGCCGTTTGGGGGGCCTCTATGGGCCGACTTGGGGCCCGCTTGGAATGCTCCAGGGCCGTCTTGGAGGCCATCTTGGGCGTCTGGGAGGCCATCTTGGGCGTGTTGGAGGCCTCTTGGGCCCTCTTGGGGCCCTCTAGGGGCCATCTTGGAGGCCACTTGGGCCATCATGGGGCTCTCTTGGGGGCCTCTTGGGCGATCTTGGGGGCTTCTTGGGCCGTCTCGAGCCGTCGGAGAGCCGAAAAGGCGCAAATGCCAGAATCCTTCAAAAACCAAGGAAAATCAATGATTTTGGCCTCTTCGGACTCTCCTGGAGGACCTCTTGGAGGCCTCTTGGGCCGTCTGGGAGGCCTCTGGGGGGCCTCTTGGGCCGTCTTGGGCCGTCTTGGACTCTCTTGGGCCGTTTTGGAGGCCGTCTTGGACCATCTCGGGCGGACTTGGAGGCCATCTTGGGCCATCTTCGCGATTTTTTGAGGATGTCCCGAGCGAAACGGCCGTTTTTTGGAGGATTTGTTTCCGGATTGAGGTCCTTTCGGCTTCCTCCCGGGACCCCGGCGGGACGGGCCGAAGCCCACTGGGGAGTTCTTTTAGAAAAAGAACCAAAACAAAACCTGATCATCCAGCACGCCGTGCACCCCTGCAAGCAGGGGGCGGCGGATTATCGAATTGCGTTCGGCACATCCCGCCACCGTGCTTGGCTTGCGGGTCTGAGGCCACTCGGATGGTTGATGGGGTCGCGTGGGAGGCGTTGCGGGCGCGTTTTGGAGGCAGTTTGTCCCAGCCCTCGTGCGTTCGGTATTCGTTTTGAATCAAAGACTGCCCGCGCGTCTTCTAATTCTCTCGCCTCTCTCCACCTCTCTTCTCTCCTGCGTCTCACCTCGCTCCATCCTGCGTGCCAGCTTGCCCCCTACCTGGCCATCTCTGTGGGGCTGCGATCTGCGAAGCTGTCGCCGCTTTTGAGGGCTGTTGGGGGTCCAGCAGCGGAGCGACGTCTGACCCAAACTCAAATGAGACCTCCCTATCCCTCGGGGTTCTGCGATCTGCGAAATTGTCGCCACGTTCGAGGGCTACTGGGGGGTCCAGCGGAGTGACGTCTTACCCAGACTCAGGTGGGACCTCGCCATGCCTGTGGGGCTGCCATCAACGAGACTGTCGCCACTTTCGAGGGCCGCTGGGGGGTCCAGCAGAGTGACGTCTTACCCAAACTCAGATGAGATCTCGCCATCCCAGTGGGGCTGCGATCTGCGTAACCGTCGCCACTTAAGAGGGGTGCTGGGGGGTCCAGCGGAGTGATGTCTTGCCCAGATTCAGGTGAGGCCTCGCCATCCTTATGGTGCTGCGACTTGCGAAACCGTCGCCACCTTCGAGGGCTGCTGGGAGGTTCAGCGGAGTGACGTCTTATTCAGACCACCAGGAGACCTCGCCATCCTTCAGGAGCTGCGATCCGCGAATATGTCGCCACTTTCGAGGGCTGCCGGGGGACCCAGCGGAGTGACGTCTTACGCGGACCACCAGGAGACCTCGCCATCCTCGAGGTGCTGCGATCTGCGAATATGTCGCCACTTTCGAAGGCTGCTGGTGGGTCCAGCGGAGTGACGTCTTACCCAAGCTCAGATGAGACCTCGGCATCCCTGTGGGGCTGCCATCTGCGAAATTGTCGCCACTTTCGAGGGCTGCTGGGGGGTCCAGCGGAGTGACGTCATACCCAGATCCAGGTGCGACCTCGCCATCCTTGTGGGGCTGCGATCTGCGAAACTGTTCGGCTGTCGAGAGATGCCGGGGGGCCAAGCGGAGTGACGTCTTGCCCAGAACCACATGATACCTCTCCATCTCTTTGTGGGATGCGATCTGCGAACATGTCGCCACTTCCGAGGGCTGCGGGGTCCATCGGAATGACGTCTTACCCAGAGTCAGGTGAGACCTCGCCATCCCTCGGGGGGGCTGCGATCTGCGAAACTGTCGCCACTTTCGAGGGCTGCTGGGTCCAGCGGAGTGACGTCTTGCCCAGAGTCGGATGAGACCTCGCCATCCCTCGGGGGGCTGCGATCTGCGAACATGTCGCCACTTTCGAGGGCTGCTGGGGGGGCCCAGCGGAGTGACGCGTTACCCAAACTCAGATGAGACCTCGCCATGCCTGTGGGGCTGCCATCGGCGAAACTGTCGCCACGTTCGAGGGCTGCTGGGGGGTCAGCGAGGTGACGTCTTACGCGGACCTTCAGATGGGACCTCGTTATTCGTGGGGGCTGCGAGCTGCGAAGCCGTCGCCGCTTTCGAGGGCTGCTGGGGGGTCAGCGGAGTGACGTCTTACGCGGACCACCAGGAGAGCTCGCCATCCCTGGGCCCCAGCGGAGCGACGCCTTGTTCTCGGCTTTGACGACACTGTGATTCTCGCGGCGTCTGTGTGCTCGCTCTGGGCCGAGACCCTGGTGAATGCCGGCTGCCGCCCAGGCTTGAAGACGACGCTTACCAAGATCGGAGGTCCAAAAACAGTGCAGAGACCGCGCCGGCAGACGAGTTGGTGGGGCGTCGTGGTGAGCACGGCAGATTTTGAGATTCGGGTCGTTCTCCGAGGATGTCTCGGGCGACTGGGGCCTACAAGGTCCCAGCGTTGTCACAGCACCGAATTCGGTCCCTCAACAAGATCTCGGTTCGGGATTGTCCTGTGGAGACCTGATGGTGTGGATGGTCTCTCTCTTTCTCTTTTTCTCTTTTCTCCCTTTCTATCTCTTTTGTTTTCTGTCCATCTCTCTCTCTTTCTGTCCTTCCTCGTCGAGGGCGACAGCGCCCTCCTGGAGACGGTGGCGACGCAGCTCTGCAAGACCCTCAGGCCCATGGGCGCTCGCGAAAGACGCCGCCCGGGGGTCAGAGGGCCGGGGGCGAGGGAGACGGTGGGCGCGGTCGCGGCCAAGACGCGCCGAAACCTTCGTGACAGAGGGTCCGGCTTGCTCTCTACTGTATGGGTCGGCTGCGTCGGTTATCGGAGGGGCCGACTTGGGTCACCAGAGTGCTCAAGCGTGGCCGAAACACTCGTGGCCGGGGAGGCGGGTGGGTAAGGAGGAGGAGGAGGAACAGGAGTGAGAAGTGGGGGGGAGGATGACGGGCACCAGAGCAAGCGCAAGATGCATCATGTATGCTGCAATCCACCCTCCCGTCCCAAGATCCCTCCTCACACGTCCCCACGTACAAGCCTTCTCTTCCACTACAAGAAGAAGCGCCCCCTTGAAATACCAACGCAGCTGGGCCTGCCGCTTCGACGAGCGGGCCCGCTTTGAAAAGGAATTGTCATGCATCCTGGCGCGTAATTAGGACTGCGAAAAGCTATGATCATACAGTTCAGCGAAGTGTCCGGCCATGTCCCCCTGTCGACGAAGGACCCCATCCGTGTAACTGCAACACAAGTTTACACGTGTGGCCGTGAGCTTCGAGAAAGTCTCGAGCGAGAGCTCTGTTTTGCAAACGAGCCGCCCACAACGAGGAGTGCGGTGTGTGTGTGTGTGTGGAAGACCGATGATCGGTGACCCGATGATTGCAGGCCTACCTCGGTGGCCTCCCCCGACAGCGCCGGATCCCCCGGCGGCCTTCTTGGCGCCGCGCCTCGCGCGCCCCAGGGGACCAGAGGGGTTGGTTTGGGGGGGAGGGTGCCAGGGTGGTTTTTGGGGGGAGGGTGGTTTGGGGTGAGGGTGGTTTGGGGTGAGGGTGGTTTGGGGTGAGGGTGGGACCAGAGGGGTTGGTTTGGGGGTGAGGGTGGCTTGGGGGGGAGGGCTGCCGGGATGGCCTGCCGCATGGCCGCGGGTGGTTTCGGCGGGCGGGCGGCCCCGGCCTCGGGGAGCGCCCCGCGGGGGGCTCCCGTGCAGGCGCGCGCCAGCAAGAATCCCTTGGGCAGGGGTCCGTCCACTGGAGCTCCGGGGGGCCGAAGTCCAGGCGCGATGGCCCTCAGTCAGGAGGGGAAAAAGACACGCAGACACAATGCATCGTCGATCCCCAGGAAAATATGGGAAAATATGGCAATTTGGCGGGAAGACAAGAACCCAGAAAATATGGGAAAATATGGGGAATCTTTTTATTTGTGTGTATTTATTTGTGTGTCCCAGTTTCCCTTCACTCAGGGCAGCGAGGCCTCGGGTTGCGCACGGGCCGCCCCCCAGGCAGTCCTGGCTGGCCCCCCGAGCAGTCCCAGCTGGCCTCAACGGGCTCCGCGAGTGGTCCTGGACGGTCTCAACCCCCGCGCCAGGGTCGAGGTGTTCAGACTTGGGAGGGAAAGAAACAGACCCAATCGATCGTCGACTCCCAGGAAGATCTGGGAACATCTGGGAAGTGAGGGGGAAGACAAGAAACCCAGATAGTGTGGGAAACTTTGGGGAATCCTGTTGTTCGTGTCTGTTTAGTTGTGTGTCCCAGGGCCCCTTCATGTGCGCTTACCCCCGTTCAGCTCAACCAGCAGCACGCCGCCTGCGTCGGCCCTCATCGCGTTGCCTGCATGACGGCAATTTGCGTCGCATTGAGGGCACTCGGTGGACGGGCGCACGTGGGCGCTGACACACGTTCCTGAGATTATCGGTGAGCGTCTCCCAGACCTGATCCTGGCCCCGTCCGTGGTCGCGCTCGTTGGCCGCAGCGCAGGGCGGAGGTGCCTTGCATCCGCCAAGGCCAGGAGGAGGCAGCCTCTTCCAGGCGCGCGAAGACAGCCGCGCCCCGCAGGGAAGCCGGGCCTGCGCGCGAGGACAGCCGCGCCCCGCAGGGAAGGCGGCCCGCAGTTTCTGTCGCGTGGATTTTTTTGCATGACGTTATCACGAGGTGTGAGGCGGTCGTTCGGCGGGGAAGAAATCGAGATTGAGGGTGCGCCCCGAGCCTACAACAACAAGCGCGTTCGGTTTTCCATGCGTGAAGATGAGGTGCGCATCGCCTTGGAGCCCATCGTTCCTGGCTGAGTTGCTGGCGAGGCGAGACCTATCTCGCAGCTCTCGCGCAAATGCACAGGGCTTTCGTCGCACGTGTGGTTGTACATGCTGAGGTGCCCGTGCGCATCTCCTGCGACAAGCGTTCGGGTGGGTCACTCATGCGGAATGAGCAATATGTTGGCATGCGATACGAATTCGGCTTCGGTGGAGAACTCACATGAGGGTGACGCCCTGCGCTGGGTCGCAGAGTCGGCGCTCTAGCAGGGAACGGTCGAAGACGAACAGAATGAGATTGTGAGCGAGTTCGCAACCCCCTGGCAATTTGGTGCAGGCGCGCATGGTTGCATCCCTGTGGTGCCCGCAAGAGCCGCGGCCCGCTTTGGCAGGCAGAGCGGCGCCACTGGGGCAGGGGGAGGCGGCAGGTGGTGGGGACAAGGACGAACGAACAACACACACCCAAACCTAGAAGGAGGTCGGAGGGAGAAGAACTGGCGATGGGTATGGGTGCGGGTTGTCGGAGCCCTGCGGAGGCTCGCGCTCGAGCGGGGACCCCCATCCGACGACACGCACCCACAGCGCATTCCGCCCCCCCTTGTGGGGATGGGTGCGGGTGGATCGCTCGTCAGACAACGAGGAGGAAGATGAGGCGTGGGGCACACGAGGGAGCGCGAGTCGAGCAGGGACGGGCGTCTCCGGCAGAACCTCTCGAGGGTCCGCGCGGGTTTCTCTTAGATTTGCGCCGGACCCCCGGGCGGCACCCGGCGCCGCCCCTCTGGCTCGCTCCGCGCGCCAGGGGCCCGGGCCTCGCTCGGACGCGTGCGGTTTTTCTCGGCGAGAACCAGCGAGGACCATCCTGGACCATCGAGCAAAACAAGCACGCACGAAACCGAGAAATACACGGGAAACGGACGTCCGAGCGACGGCATGGGACGTCCGGCTCCGAGCCGAGGAATCTGCCTCGGACCGCCGGCAGGTTCTGCTGTCTGCTGTTCCTCGAGTGAGGGCAGCGACGATGAGGAGCCCGAGGAGGATCGTGAGGAGGATGCGGAGGAGAAGAGTTGTGGATGATGGCGATGACGATGACGATGACAATGACGATTATGGTGATGACGATGCCGATGATGATGTTGATGATGATGATGATGATGACGATGACGATGACGATGATTATGATGATGATGGTGATGGTGATGGTGATGGTGATGGTGATGATGATGATGATGATGATGATGATGATGATGATGATGATGATGATGATGATGATGATGATGATGATGATGATGATGATGATGATGGTGATGGTGATGGTGATGGTGATGGTGATGATGATGACGACGATGATGATGATGACGATGATGATGACGATAACGATGACGATGACGATGACGATGCAACCACCAGTGCACATTGAGTTTTTCAAATAAAGTGTTCCTCCCGGGGCTCAACCCTGTTTTCATCAAAGTATTTCTGCTCAAGTTGTGCCCTTGGCCCTCCATGCTACAACAACAACAGAGGCTTCCGCTTGATATTTCCTCACCAGTTATTCTGAAATCGCGCTCTCGCGCTGGATGTCCTCACAATTTATCCCCGAGTCACGCTTTCGTAAGGGACTTCGTCCTAATGCATTCAGACGCGCCCTCGACACTGAGGAGTCTCGCTCTCGCTCCGTTTTTTCTAATGATTTACTTGGGAATCGAGATATCGCTGGAGACTTCCTCGCGATTCATGCAGGACTCACGCTTCAGCAACCCGCCTGCTCGACCTAGCCGCCTGGGCACGCCTTCCCACTCGCCCGCTGGGGTCTGCCCGCCCGCCCGATCTGCCCGTCTGGGTGCACTACGTGTTTTCTGCTCCTAGCCCCCCCCCCCTCCTGCGAATGCTCTCTCGTATTGTCGGGCCCCCTCGCGCGTCTCGGTGTCCTGCAGCATCTCGACCCAAACCCTTCGCAGTGGCGGCCCCTCGTCGGGCGCTCTGTGCAGGCGCTCGTCCAGGCGGGCGAGCCGCCGAGGGGGCGGGCGCGGGGCCGTCTCAAGGCGACGCGCCCGCGGACCTCGGCGCCCGAGCCGCAGGAGAGCGCCGCGGTCCGCTCCGGCCGACCCGAGCGGGCGGTGGGCGCTGCCCCCCCCACCCCCCCCCCTGCCGCTGGGGGCGGGGCCTGCCCCCCACCGTCTGCCCGCGGCTGGCGGTGGGCCCGAGCAGCGGGGCCGCCCTCTGGGCTGCCCGGCCGCCCGGGGAAGACGGGCGGCGGGGGCCCCGCTGAAGAGCCTCTGGGAGGCCTCGCGGGGCCTCGCGGGGCATCTTTGGGGCCTCTTGGAGGCCTGTTTTGGGGGCGACTGGGGCGCCCCTTGGGGCCCTCTTGGAGGCGTCTTGGGCTGCCTTGGGGCGGCCCTGGGAGCTTCTTGAGCCATCTTGGAGCGTCGGAAAACCCCAAATGCGAGAACCCCAAACTCTTCCCAAGACCTTTTCTGTAACATCGACGATTTTGGCCTCTTGGGGCTCTCTCGGGAGGTCTCTTGGAGCGCTCTTGAGGCAGGAAGTTGTTTTCATTGCGTGAGGTGCCCCATTGGGAGACAACCCCGTGAGAACCCTCCATCGGTCCACGACACACTACCGGGACTTCAGGGCAGCGAATCAACGTGATTATCGCGTCTTGGCAATCTGAGATCGCTCCAGAATACCATTCCTGGGACTCCATCGCAGCAGATCAACGTGAATGTTGTGTCTTGGCACTCGTAAACCGTGCTAGAAGATAGTTCCTGGGGCTTGACCATACGAATACATGAAGCTGTTGCAAATTGTGAAGACGAATGAGCGCGGCGCTAACGCGAGAGTCAATCTTTGAAAGGGGCCCGAACTCCACACGTGAAACTTGTTTGCACGCTTTTCCAGCAAATCTACGCGGCGT